TCCACTAGCATCTGTGAGAGGTGATGTTCAAGCTTGCCTGGGATGCCCTGAAGGAAGAGGAATTGTCTTGGGTCATATATGCAATATAATTAATGTAGATAAGTAGCAGAACTTTGTTATACTACAACATTAGCATAACATAATACAACAAGCCTAGAATTTAATAAACAAGAAAACCTGTCTGCTTAATAACAAGAAACTCCTGTGTTCATAGGCACACACACATGCAGGTAGGTTGAAATACCATTATCAGGAAACACAGACTACACACCAAGTTGCACAGTGGTGTGCAACATCTGATACATGTGGATTGTGACTGGGCTGTGTGTGGCTGGTGCCGGAGGTGAAGTTAGCACTGCACTGTGCCCTTGTTCAACTGTTGCCTACACTGTCCACACAATGAAGACATGAAAATGAGGCTAAACGTATTCAACATAATGTTAAAAGCTCACAATCTTAGAGGGCCACATTGCTAGCCGTCCAGGGCCATGGGCTATACATACCTGTTTTAGACATTCTGGAGGAGTCCAGGCTCCTCTGCACTTCAGGACATTGTTACTTACGGTCCTTCTTGGAGATTATCCCATTCTCTCACCGAGGTTAAGGTTCAACATGCTCATGCCTTACTTCATTTTTCTTTAATCATTGACATGTTATTCTGAGGGGCTGAGGAAAACCTGGATGGGAGGGGCCAATTTTCCAAATGGTTGGATTATTTTATTATTATTTTTTTATGTATCAAAAGTTTATTTGAAAAAGTAAAAGTGAAGGGTGGAGGAGAAGCTGGCTGTGCAGAGTGAACTCAGGCCTAGTAAAAGAGGAAAAAGCAAAATAAAAGTAAACCCTGGAGGATGCGGGGGGACTATTATGAGGCAAGCCATGGTAATGAGCTTTTCTTGGCATCTGTGTCCTTTTATATTGTCCAAATTCAAGGAAACCTGCAACAACTTCTACATACAGGTCCTGAGAGGCAGTTCTGGGATCCCACACCCCAAGCTGATGTCAGGTCTAGCCCATCCTATTGAAAACCCACTCAGGTTCTCAAGAGAAGTCCAGTGCAGGGCTTTGGAAACTGCTCTGTGCACATGTTGCCAGATCTTTATTTTTTTTTTAATTGAGTTTATTGGTACATTTTAGGTGTACAGAACAGTTATATTCATTATTGGGATCTTGTACCTTTACATAATAGGTCTTGGTTCTCATTTTTTCCCTTTGTCCCTACCCTCTCTTCATCCCCTACTCCCCTCCCCATTTACAAACACTTTATTTCCATTTTTTCATTTTCTCCTATTTTTTTCTTTTCCCTTATTCCCTTTCCTCTACTCTTCCCACTTTCCCTAGACCTTTAGCCCTTTTCTTCCTATTTCACATTGTCAATTACCTCATTAGGATCTTATGTACTATTATATTTTTTCACACCAGAGAAACTATTCAGTATTTACACATGTGTGAATTATTTATTTCACTTAGGAGTATATCCTCAATATGCATCCATTTTCCTATGAATAAATCTTATTTTTCATTCTTTATGGCTGAGTAGTATTCCATTTTATAGAAAAACCATATCTTTATCCAGTTTCCAACTGATGGGCAAATGGGCTGTTTCCAAGTTTTAGCTATTACAAACTGTGCCACTATAAACATAGGTGTGCATATATCTCTGTGATATGATTCTTTTAATTCTTTTGGAAAGATACCCAGCAGAGGTATGGCTGGGTCAAATGGAACCTCTAGTCCCAGCTCTTTGAGGTATCTCCATATTGATTTCCATAGTGGTTGCACCAGTCTGCACTCCCACCAACAATGGAGAAGGGTTCCTTTCTCACCACAACCCTGCCAACATCCAGATCTTTTAATTAACTGGTCATGCCTACTTCCCCAGCTATCTTTGCCATACCCTAATTTATTTTATTTTTCCCTGAGAGACACAGATCTCCATAATTCTTTATGGGGTGCTGAGGATGTGGAAATCTCAGCCTTGTGTAGCTTCTTCAAGATGGAAGGGTCCATAGACCTTACCTACAGAGGTTATGTACTCTCCAACTACCTTGGGGTACTGTGGCTCACTGGCTGAGTTGAAGAAAGAAAAACCTGTCAGAAAACAATGAGAAAAGAGTTAATGCCCATTGAGCTTCACTATTAGCCAAATGCGAAGAGGAGGTCAAATTTCCATGCTTCCTGTAGCAGCACTGGAGTTTAACTTTTTGAAGAGAAATCTCTTCCAGAGGCTCACAGATGAGATCTCTTCTTTTTGATGATCTTGTTTTTTCAGACAGCTCTGATGGGACTGGCTTTATTCTAGAAAGATGAATGTAATTGTGTGTCTGCCAACTTTACTGCAGTGGTTGTGGTAAGGATTACTGAGAGGGGACTGTCTTAGTTCCTTTTTTGGTTGCTGAGACAAAAATACCTGATACCCAAAGTTAAAGGAAGAAAGGTTTATTTAGCTCACAGTTTATAGAGGTTTCAGTCCGCAATTGGCTGGCTGTAAGGTAGGGAGCCTTGCAGAGGAGAAAGTTCATGGTTGGCAAAAGGTAGCTAAGCAACAAGGGGCAGCCACAGCTCTTTGTATCCCTTATATCTTATTCAGGATACTTAGGGTAACCTCACACCCTTAATCTTAGTGCCTTTGATCCTAGAATTATGCCATATCAATTCCAGCTTCACTGTAGATCCAGCCACCTCTGAAAAAGCCCCACCTATGACTGCTTGATGATTCTCCTTAATCAGAATGGAGTCAAATGGGAAAATTGTTTCTTGCATTTATTCTGACAGTAAAAAGGCTAAGAAAGGGTGCAGCTCTGTTTTTGTGTATTCACAGTCTCTTTAATTAAATTTTAAACACTGTCCATTCTGCTCAGGTTATCAGGCATAGGATTTTTAATTACCTGCACATAAACAAGGAAGAAATCCAACCAGGAGGCTATAGCCTCAGGTGGAATCTAAGACACGGAGAAAATGGGTCAGCTAAAGCTGGCTTGAACAGGCCTTCCCAGCTGTTGCCCTGCTTTGGCAAAAGCTTTGGATGTTTCCTTTTAAAATGGACAAATGTTTTCTCTTACATGTGGAAAAGACACATGACAGAGATAGTTAAAGTAATTCACAAAGAAAAGTGCTTCCTCCTACTTGGTCTCCAAAATCAGAGGCTTAGCTCCAAAAGCCAGTTAGAAAAGAAAAGAACAAGATGGCGGCAGTTGATGTAAGCCCACATCTAGCTGCATGAATCCATGCATGCTCTGAGCCTGTTTATTGGTGCCACCCACACACAAGGTGAGTCACCCTTAAGCTTACTGTTTTACCTTTAATCCTAGCATCACATAACTGAGAAAGAAGCACCCAGGGTGGGGCACCCCTAATCCTAGCATCACACCAAAACACAAACTGAGAAAAAGAAAGCTACTTATAAAACTGGATTAAGCAGAGACCAGCTTAGTTTAAAAAGAAAGAAAGAAAGAAAAAGAAAAGAGGATAGTAAATAAATGTAACACAAACTCAGAAAAGCCACTTAGAAAAGTGGAATAAGTGGAGACCAGGTTAATTTATTGCAAGAAGCTAGAAAAAAGACAAAGCCTACATTCCCTTTCCCTATCCCCATGGCTGGACCAGGAAACCCATCCCTGGTGCCTTGAGAAGAGTCCCTCGATTCCTGGCTTAGGGGAGAGAGTGAAGGAAAGAAAGAGTGAAGAAAAGAAGCCTCATGAAGACAAACAAAAATTGTGCCCAGTATGGGCTTTACCTTGACCTTAGACTCCAGTTCGAAGCTTTTTTCCTGGCTGCCTATGCCAAAATTTTTCTGGGTGGTCTCTTTCTACAAGTGGCTCACCAAGTAAATATTACCAGGTTTTGTGGTGCTCATGTCTCCTTTTGGAGGTGGTTTCCAGGTTCTTCTCATCTTGTACAAATAAGTGAGTGAAAACAGTAGCACAGTTTATTTGCAGATGGAGTAGTGAAGAGTGAGGGAGAAATTGGCTCTGCAGAAAGAGCTTGAGCTGAGTAAAAGAGGACAAAGCAAGATGAAAGTATACCTTGGAGGATGCAAGTTGGGTTATCATGAGGAAGGCAAGATAACTGGTTGAATTCTTTGTTGACCTTTCTCAGTGAAATAAATGGAGAGGGGAGGAAAGGCCCTGTCTATGCCAGTCCTCAGTGGAGCTCTGAGGTGCTATGGGGTGATTTGAAACACTGAGCCCTGGCAGCCACTGTGGGTCTTTACAGTCATGGGAGCTGCCACCTTCCCAGAGTCGGTAGACTTGAGAGGCAGGCATCAGGGTACTTTTGCCTTGGTTTCTGGGGGATCACCAAGTAGGAAAGCACTTCTTGGAAAACCTATTCCCTTCCTGAGAGCAAAAGAAGAAAATATCTCTCTCAGCTTATAGAGATAATTTTATTTAAAAGTGAGTTGTGAATTGTTGATATTAATTGGGAATACTTTTGTAGAAAACAAGCCTTTTAATTAAAAAGAAAGAAACCTCAGATTTAATTCTTGAAATATGGATTACTTTGAAGTTTTAGCAGGAAAAATGAGTTCCACAATACAGTAATATTCCTTCCAAAACTTGTGTGAATTACCTACTTTTTAAAAAGCAAACTTTTAAAAAAGCAGGTTCTTGCTCTTCTAATAAGCACATTTATGCTTTTAGGAGAGCACTGTTAGATTCTGTTTGTCTTTCTAAAGTGTTTGCTGTTATTTTAGATAATCCAAAGCTTATTTTAATGTTATAAAAGGAGAACAGGGATAAAGAAAGAGCCACTGAAATTCGACAAGTATTTATTTTAGCCTTTAGTTATAAAGCCCTTCTCAACCAGTTCTGTTCACACTGTCTCAATGAATCAAAGTCAATTTAGGCTTCTGTTTCCTGCACCCTTGCCCTATTCCTCTGTGTGAATCAGTGGGATTAAAAATGGTAATAAGGTAGACAGGTTGAACTCCATTAGCCGTTGACAGCATAGAGACTCGTAAGGGAATGATAAACTCACGTGTTGTCCATTCTCCACTTTAGGGTATTCCTGCCGATTGGTGTCACAAAACATGGCCCTTATCCTACTGAAGGAGGATTCTTTGGATGTAAGTAGTTTTTCAAAAATTGTGTCTGAAATAGCTGTATTGAACCCTTTGATTTGACTGTATTTGTTCATCAGAAGTTTTTTTCTGGTAAAAGCTAATTATAAAACCAGTGTGTTTATATTTGTGTTATGAATGGATATTACAAAGCTTTATCCTTAAATGTCAAAATAGTAAGCGTAGAATACTATCTCATGACAATATTTTGCTCACCTAGAATTGTGTATTTTAAATGTGATAGTATTAATCTAGTTTAGCTTTCATTATAAAATACAAAGTAATTTACACAAAATAACGAGACCTGTTATAATTTACATTAAGTGGTGATGGTAATCCTCCATTGTACGTTACTAAAGAGACTTAAGAATTTCATTATAGAACAAAGCTCAAAATAATATAACACTCAAGTGTTAGGAGTTGAATTAAGAATAAATCCTCTTAATTCCCCAACACCCAGATGCCACCAGCTCATGAAGGGAGAATTGAACAACATGGTTTACTTTGGCTGACAGTTTCAGTGGATTCAAGACTCCCAAGGCAGAAATGGCACAGTGAAAGGACATGGTGAAGTAAATTTTTTTACTACATAGTGCCAGCAGGCAGAGAGCAAAGGGAGGAGCCAGGGATGAAATATACCCTTACAAGTAATGCTTCCAGTGATTTGCCCTTTATGACCAGGTCCTACCTCCAGACTTTGGGGGCCATTTTAGATCTAAACCATAACAATCTGCTCCTGGCCCCCAAAAGAATCAATTCTATCCCATTTTGCAAAACATATTTAGTCTATCTCTATGAGTTTCCAACTTTAACAGATTCAGCATTGCTAAAAAGTCCAAACCTAAAGTATCCTCTGAGACTGAAAGGAAACTCTTAGATGTGACCTTTTATGAAAATCAGAAATTTAAAATATTTCCAGCAAACAACAGCCAAGGGTAAACATTCTCATTCTGAAAGGGAAGAATAGGGAGACAGAAAGTGATCAGGAAAAAGCAAGACCAAAACCCAGCAGGGCAAACATTAAATCCTATAGTTGCACACAGGGCAGGTTGTGGTAAGATTTAAGCTCCAAAGGGCTTGGGTAGTGTTGCCTCTATGCAACCCATATGGCCTTGATTTAGACTGGATCCACTCATTGCCTGTGGCTTTCTTCAGCAGATGTTCCACATGCCTGGTATGTCCAACTTCCTGGGTCTCCAGTACAACTTTGGCTTCACTCTCATACCTTTACACACTGCCCTTTCATGGACTTCAACAGGGACTGTGACCCTGTCATTCATTTTTCACTTGGTCTTTTGGGTGGCCTCCAGGTGGAAGCCTGTGTGACCCTATAGCCCTTATATTCTGCAATATCAAACCAGCACAACAGGGGTGACACCAAGGTCATCTTAAGCAGTAGCCAGGCCCCCTTGAACCATGACTGCTGTGGCCTCTGAAAGCCTAGATAGTTTAACTTGGGAATACACTTCCCTAGTTATCCCAGGGACTCTCTTTTCCCTAGGCCTGTGGTGGGTGGAATCTCATTGATTTCTGAGATGCCCTCAAGGCATCTTTCTTTTTGTTCCCTTAAAAGTACTCACCTTCTTTTTAATGCTACTCTTTATAGGAATCAGGCTTTCCCTTGCTCCCTCTATAGGCAGTTCTTTTCTGGTGAAACTTCAAACTTTTCAAATCATTTGCTCCTGATACGTATTGTGTATCTGGCTAAAAGCAGTCAACAGTACCTATGTCACAGCCTCTTTATTGGGCTATCTTGAATTTTTCTCCACTAGATTAATTAATCTGTTACCTTTAACATGTTCCCACTGGCTTGAAACACTGGTGTTACATGCATGACTGTCCCATCAGGTAGGTTGTACCACTAGTGGTACAAATGGATCTAATCACTTTTATTGGTCTTCTTTCCTTCTTCCCTCCCTCCCTTCCTTCCTTTCTTCTTCTTTTTTTTTTTTTGGCATGGGGGATTGAACTCAGGACCTTGCACTTGCAAGGCAGGCCTGGCACCACTGAGCTAAATCCCTGGCCCTTTAATGGTCTTACTAATAAAATTAGTAAAAAGTATATAAGTAGACTGAATCTAGTTAGTTGCTTGAATTTGAATAATTACAACCAAAGTATAAATATTAATACTATTCATACTAATTAAAATTATAATAATCAACAAATTAATTCATTTCATTAAATTAAAAGACATGTATTATATTCTTGAATTTCTTTAAAACATTTTATACATAAAAGTAGATGGTTTGTACAGTGTGCTCAGAATGTCACAATGTGTTTGGGTTTTTTTTTAGGCACAGCAACATCCATTTTTTTCTGATAATTTTTTTCCATTAAGTTTATTGGTACATTTTAGGAATACAATATAGTTACATTCATCATTGAATGTACCTTTACATGATGTATCTTGGTTCTTATTTTTTCTCCATTCTCCTGCCCTCCCTTCATCCCCTCCACCCTTCCTTATTTACAAAGACATTGTTTCCACGTTTTTCCATTTCTCATATTTTCTCTTTTCCCTTCTTGCCTTTCCCCACCCCTCCCACTTCCCCTACTCCTTTAGACATTTTTCAAAACCACCAAATTTTGATGCTGGCAGGTTCCTCAAGTTGGCATAATGTTTTAAAAAATTCTTTAACTGGTAATTTTTTTTAGAAATGCATTACCTAATGAGATAGCTGTGCCTTTCACATTTTTCCTAATCCATTTATGTATTCAGAATTTTATATAACATTTGAAATTTTACATAACATTATTAGAACATTATTGGAACAAGTATCAAAATGGGAAAAATGCTTTAATTCAGTCTTGAACAGAATACTATTAAGCAGAATATTAATCTTGAGTTTTATGGTCAGCACAAGATAGTATCCTTGAAAGAATTACTTTCTTCTTCTTGGTTCATGATACTTTATTTCTGAAATAAAAGGATTAACCTGATTTTTTAAAAGTCTTCAATTTTTTTTCTCTGAATGAGTTTAAATATAGTATATGACAATTTCTAGTCAAACCATCATCATCCAAATTTTTTTTTATTTATTTTTATTGAGTTTATGTAGGTATACAATATAGTTACATTCATTACTGGGATCCTGTACCTTTACATGACAGGTCTTGGTTCTCATTTTTTCCCCTTGTCCCTGTCCTCCCTTCACTTTCTGATAATTTTTGATAATATGATTGCTTATATGTTTCTTGCCAATCCTAAATAAAATTCTATAAAATGATTTTTTTCAGTAATTTGTGACTGTGGCATTTCTTTATAGGTTAATAGTTTACCAATAATTAATTATCTAAATTTTAGAATGAAAAACATACAAATACTCCATTGCTAGTATATATAATACACATTTTCAACTGTTCAATCCCAAATTTGCTGTGTTACAATTTTTTATACCATTTTAATATTTTCCTTAAGGAAATGTAATATGGTGACATCTGGTCTGCTAAATTAACACCTTTCTTTGCATTATTTTAATCAAAGCAAAGATCAGGTTTTATGTTTCCAAATTTTCCTTCATTGTACATATATGATTTTCATAAGTTGTTAACATACAAATGGTTCTTTTATCAGTCTATTTAACAAATTTTACACCAGCATAATTATTTTCAAAGCTTATGATTTTGCCATGTTTTTGCTTTATCTTTGCTTGTACTGGTAAAATTTTTTAATTTGAATATTCTGTGACACAAAAGTATGTTTATTTTTTTGAAGTTCTTGTGCTAGTGGTATACTTGAATAACAGCTGTCTGCAAATAATGTACAATGTTCAAATGATAAGTTATTCAGTAATTTCAGAGTAATATCATAAGAATGCACAAGAAGTTTTATTTTTTCCAACATAGACATGTAAATCATAGGTGTAACTCTTAGGCAAATGTAATTTATAAAATTTTATCCTGTATTTGTGCCCTTTTATATATTGGCAAAAATGCAGGTGTCCTCACTATAGAATCATATTTTCATCTATCACTGCATTTTTTTCAGGTTTTACTGCATAGTTGAAAGTACTAATAATTTCTTCCATGATATTTCTAAATTTAACATTCGTTGGTTCTGCATGTGATATTTTCAGAAAAATGTGAATAGTTCAAAATAGCTAAAAATGAATCACTTTGCATGATGTTCTGTATATGTCTATTGGCAAGCATATTATTTTCAGGGTAATGCAGTCTAATATTTGGTAATGGCACTATCTCTATAGTTAATAATATACCTCTAAAACTTTTCATCTCATTAATTATAACTGATTCCCAACGTCGCTGATATTTTCTTAAAGCTGCATTGAATGGCATATCTATTTGTTTCTTCATCTATAATTTTGAGTATATAATTTGATATGAATAATTTATACAATACAGAAGGATCACTACAATTAATATTTATTAGTAGTTCTGTGTTTTGCAGTTCTGTGTACTCATGTTTTATCACATTTCTTTCTATTATTAGCTAACATTCTTCCTCTTGATCTTCTACCTTCATTTCCAAATCTTCACTATGTTCAGTGAATGCATTGGTCACAAAATTACATTTATTTACCTCTAATGCATTGTCACTTGAAGAATAATACATAGATTGTGAATTTTTCCTCTCCTGAGATATAATTGCAGATTTATCTGGTGAGTCATCCATTTCCTGTGTTTGACACCCTAGTTGAAAAAAATGTTACAAAATCGAAAGTCTTAAAATTGAAAAGTGAATCGGTTATAATATACATTTATGCATACAAAAATTATATTTTACTTACAAATGAAAGTTCCAAATGAAAATGAGAACCACCAAGGAGCAACAAAGAAATAAAAGAAATTTACCACTGAGCTTTATTAGAGCCCTCTGCACTGGGTTCCCATCTCCTGCTCAGTACTATGATGCAAGGTTAAAAGAAAAACTCAGACAGAATTAGAGACAGAGAAATGGGCACGAGGATGACCAATGCTCATGCAAGCAAGGCTGAATAAATGAAGGCCCTGAACACTCAGAGCTGTTGGTATTTCTTAGTGACATC